CATCCCCTCTCCCCGGGATCCCCTCCCGCTTCCCGCCCTCTCCGTGTCCCATTATCCCGATCCCGCAGCTGTCCCGTTAATCCGGCCCATCCATCGCCCCGACAGCCGCGCTGGGTTCGCTCCAGGCCCGGGGCCAGCCCTGCACCTGCTCCGGGCCCGGGGCCGGATCCAGCCCCGCTCCTCCAGCCCTAAAAAGGCCACGATCGGCCGCGTTCCTTCGGGCCGTGTCATCCTCCCTCCCCGGTCCCCGCTCCCTCCCCGCGCCGCGATCGCGGCCCCGGGACAGCCCGCGGAGCTGGGAACGACTGCGGGACAGGAAAAATCTGGGATTGTGGGGTTTATTCCCGGCAGATTTCCAGCCTGCACCGCGCCGTTCTCTGAGACACCCGCGGGGATATTTTTTTTTTTGGGTTTTCCCGGTTTTTTTCCGTTTCTCCCCGGGCGGGATGAGCTGTTCTCGACCTTCCCCCCATCCTCAGACGTGCCGGAGCGCAGGCAGCGCCTGCTAAAACCGGCGACGGGAGGGGGAGATCGGGGGATTGACGGACGCTTGGAGAGCTCATAAACTCCCTTCCCTCGGGAAAGAGGGCTAAAAATAGCGCCGGGAGGCTGGAGAGGGATGGAGAGGGATGGAGAGGGATGGAGAGGGCAGGGACAGGGAGGAAAATGCGGGGAAAGGCAGGAAAATGCAAAGAAAGGGCAGGAAAGGGAAGTAAAGGGCAGGAAAATGTGGGGAAAGGGCAGGAAAAGCCTGGGAAAGGCAGGAAAGGCAGGAAAAATTAGGAAAAGGCAGGGAAATGCAGGGAAAGGGAAGGAAAGGGCAGGGAAAAACAGGAAAGTTGAAAAAAAAGACAGGGAAATGCAGGGAAAGGGAAAGGAAAGGCAGGAAAGGGCAGGGGAAGGGCCAGGAAAGGCAGGAAAATTGAAAAAAGGACACAGAAATTTAGGGAAATGGCAGGGAAAGGGAAGGAAAGGGAAGCAAAAGGGACTGGAAAGCGACAGGGAAAGAAAAATGGACAGGAAAATGGAAAGGAAAAAAGGAAAAAGAGAAAGGGAAATTCTAAAAGCAAGGAAAGGGAAAGATAGAGGGAGAGGAGGAAAAGGAAAAAGAAAAGGAAAAGGAAAAGGAAAAGGAAAAGGAAAAAAGGGAGAAAGGAGG